TTGTTCCCTCTATATCAACCATATAGTTCTTTTACAGCCTACTATTTTCAGGTCATACAATCACTCTTACTACTATTATCCTCTTAACAAAAATAAAGATACATCATTCCTAAACCTTACTGAGTTTAGTTTTTTTTTTCTTTTTAATGAGCAGTTACCACCTTAAAAATAGGGAATAATAATGGCAATCGGATTTTTTTTTCTCCAATTATACGATTCACTCTCTTGTCATTGCTCTAATGACTCATTCCTGTTTTCTTTTTCAGATGGTTTTATCGCCTTATTCTCATTGATATAATTCTCCTTTACTTTACCCTTTAGACGACAAAGTGGTTATGAGATTGCCTGGGGGAAACTATTATTATTATTATTATCATTATTAATAATAATAATATTATTATTAACATTAGTCTCTCTTCATTGTTTATTGGCAGTTACATCAGAGTTGTGCTTATGTTTGTGCGTAGTTTCGTATTACTACCCCCCTCTCTCTCTCTATCACTTCCTTGCACACAACCACCTACCCACCCACCCACCTGCTGTTCTTCTGTAATGTAAATCACTGATTTTTATTTGACATTTTATATTCATATTAATTAGTACTTATTTCTATTATTGAAGCAGAATAAGACTAGACCTAATTCACTTCATGCTCATACATATACATATGAACATATATTCATCAAGAGGCCTTCAGTATGACCTGAAAAGAACGCCTTTTTTTGAAGAAAAACTAATAATATGAAGGGGTGGGTTGAGGATGCATCACATTATTCCTATTTATTTAATTTTATTTATTCTGATAGAATTATGTCTTGTTAGGCATTAAATCTGTATTTAAATGTAATCTTTGTAACTGACCTGATACACTATCTTCTATATTGAAGTAAAGAATTAGGAAAAACTAACCAACTTACGGGTCACTGCTTCATTGTATGAAAGACTTCAACTGTATAGGTCTATATCTTGTAATATTCTGTTGATTTTAGTATACTTGGTCTATGGATTATTATTATTATTATTATCTATTTAGGCGATTACATGTTAGTTAAGTGATAATTTGTATATGACTCATTTCCTTACCTTCTTTTATTGAGTTCAGCTCATTATGATGATAGGATCTGATAAAATTCTGTGTGAAAATCGAATATCACAGAATTTCTTGTAATTATAATTAACAACGGTATAACAAGTTCTGATTGGTTGATTGGTTGGGATCTGATAAAATGTCAGCATGTAATAAGCAGGTTCAGTTGACCTATGTCAACTTATGTCATTTGAGGTCTATCTCATTCAAAGGGTGAGTAAACTGTACATTAATTCATCTTGTATTACTCTACGACTATGAAGCGGAGTCTATGAAAGCAGAAGATATATGGATATCACAGCTGTTTCATTATGGATATCTTCAAAGTAGTGCTCGTGTTTCAGGAAATAACTGGATGAGCAATACTGCAGGGTAACAGATAATTATTGTAAAGTGGTGGATGAAATTATGAATCTTCATTAACTGTGACATGTATTATATATCCCCAACCATCGCCTACTTTGACCAGAAGTGCTTGCTGGTGTAGGTAAGTACTGGAAGAAAACTAAGGAGGGACGAAAACGAAAGGTGGCGTTAGACTTTGAAGTAGTTATTGACCGTTCTTCCGTGTCATGTTAGTTGATGTATTCTTTATAGCTGAAAGTTAGGTAATAACTGTGATCAATTGTTGTAGATGTTTGGTGACAAGATTCAGAACCGGTTTTAGTTTATTTATTTATTTTAACACATAAACATTGGTACAATGAGGCACCAAATATATATGCGCCACATAAATCTCATTTGATATGTGTGAGGGCTGTGATACTGCACGGGTGCCCAAACCGAAACAGGTGCTTTTCTTAGGGGGCCGCACTCGGAGTCTTCGGCTTGAAGATCTGAACCACATTGCAGTGGAGCATCGTAAGGAGATGCATTCCCATGGTAGCCGGTGATCAACAATTGGTTCATACGCCATTTGTTCCCACAGGATACTGGAGCCCATGTGCACCATTGATTTGGAATCCGGTTAAAGCGCCGGACATTCGCTTTTCGCCCTCTCATTTTCGTAAACAACACCCCCGCCACGAGAAGGCAGTGAGTAGGACTTCCCTGGCAGAAGCTATACACGCGTGGCCATGTGAGAGGATTTGTCTTAGATACCTAATCTTTTGTGTTCCTATTAATACTGTTCGTACTGTTCGTTCCGTCCTACTTTATGGCAGTGAAACATGGCCGGTAAGAGTAAAGGATATTCGTAGGCTACTAGTATTCGATCATAGGTGTCTTCGAAACATCGCTCGCATATCATGGGACCATCGAGTAAGTAACACAGTTGTTAGGAAACGGGTACTAGGTAAGGATGGCAAATCAATTGATGAAGTAGTGAAACTTCATCAGTTGAGATGGCTGGGACACGTGTTACGTATGCCCAACGACCGACTGCCTCGACGTGCTATGTTCAGTGGTATAGGAGTAGGTTTGAAGAAAGCTAGGGGCGGCCAAACCAAAACATGGCACAAGTCCATGAAGTCACTGACAAGTGAACTGAGTCATGTTGGTAGGTGTAGACTACCTGGTTGGGGACCGCGAGATCATAGCAACCGATGGTTAGAGACCCTGAATGACATGGCTCAAAATCGTTTGCAATGGCGCAGGTGCAGCCACTCTCTGTGTTCTCCCAAATTCTAATCTTCTGAATTCTTCATGTCCCTTTTTTCCTCTTTCCAAATTTATTTCACTGGATTATACTCTTTAAATAACATCTCCAAACCCTAATCTTCCCGATTACTGCTTATACTCATTACCTCTACCACTATGGGATTTGAATCGACCACTGCATCTCTGTGCTAATGTGGTGTGGCAACTCGAACTGATGTACGTACGTACGAAGTTCTACGTTGTTACTGACTGACTGACTTCTAAGATCTGCCATGACAGTTTCATCTGTTTATATCATTTAGGGTATGACAAATTGAACTAGTGTGTACATATGCTATATCCTGTCATGTATGAGTGACGAACTGACTGATTATACTAGTTCTTACACCATTCACCCCCTACCATAGATATTCTCCATGAACAGAAATATATGGGAATGACGTAGTGTACTTTCATTCATTCTACTGTAAAACGCTTAGATAACCTTCTATTAGATAGAAAAAAGACTATAATGTCAAATTGCTTCATTAAGGTATACACAGTCTATGTTGGGTATCATTTAGACAGCTTTTGATATTAATTACGCCTGTTACCCTTTATGGAGGAGCATAAGCCTCCTACCAGTTACTCTTCATCCAATTCTCTTATTCATCTTTTTCATGTTTGCTTACACTTTTGTTTCCCTTCAGGATTCCAAATAAATACCTTACCTCATCATGTAATTTGATGATTTCCTTTATAGATAGAGTTTCTATGAAAAATTTCACAATGAACTTCTACATTTTTTGTTGTTGTTGTTGGTGATCTTTGTATATTTATTTACTTTTATTTTTATAAAGGTAATACATTCACTGATAGAATAAATTATTCAATTGTACTTATCATTCAAATTGTAGTCACATGTTGATTCTTTTTACTTTGACTGATTTATTTTAATTCATTGAATTCAATTTTATATTATCATATGACAATGACCTTTATTTCAGTAGTAAGTTTTAAGTAGTAAAGAAAACGAAGAATAAGAAGTAATGAAATGGAATAGTTCATGAGTTGAATAAGCAAATGTTGAAATTGTTGTATTTATTAAGTTCATGTGTGAACCTTTTTTCATTTAGGTTAATTAAGTGTTTTCTCTCTCTCTCTTTCTGTGTGTGTGTGTGTGTGTGGAACAAGAGTACTTTTGAATTTAATTTACATGATCTTTTGATTCTGTGAATTTCATCAGATCATAAAGCATTTCTTATGAGAATAATATATACTAATAACTGAAGAATTATACCGTTGACTATACTTGAATGTAGCAGGAGTAGTTGTAGTGCTTCTGTCTACCTACAACAGAAGAAGGAAGTGGTTACAATAAGTTTGCCATGAAAGTGGCACAAATAGCTTATGTCTTCTGCGAAAATCTTCTTGTTAAATAGTGATTCATTAAGCTGTGCAACCACGCTCTCAAGTCACCGAAACCTCTACTAATCTAGTTTCCTTGTTAAGAGTCTTAAAATGGTGTATCCTTCTGTGTTGTTCACACACCTCTAGGACAGTAGGTGGTAGAGAATATTCCGTAGTAAATATGGTTTGATTAATTTTTTTTCTGGTTAGCGTTTTTTTAGCTAGTTAGTTTTCTACGGGATGGGGTAGCCACTCCCATGCCAAACCCTCTTCCTTTATATGAGCTTGGGGCCGGCAGTAGCCACAGAAGGGTTCCAGGCGGAGTTGTAGTAATTTACACTTATCACGTACTCAACCAACCTACCAATTTTTTAAAAAAAATGATGAATAGTTTTACCAATGTTATTGAAATTATTTCTTAAATAACATTACTGACATGGATCCTAGAATAAGAATTTTCAGCCCCGATAGCTCACCGCAAACGTTATCGTAAATCTAACCATCAGTTTATTTTTACTTATTAATCATTTCACTCCAGTCCTAGATATGATGAATTCACCTTATCAGACAACATCAAAATGAATGGTAGACTATTCCACAAATAAGTCATACACCATACTGTAAAGTATAATTTTAAAATTGACTTGTAATTTCCCCCCCCCCTATTTTTACCATATGGATGCTATGTCTTATAACTTATGCTAGTCCCCGTTCATCCCAAGTCTTATCCTGATAATGATTGATGTAAATAGTTTTCCCATTCATTCACAAGGGATATTTAAGTATTGTTTAGTCAAGTGAAAGTCCTACGATAAAGATATGTTTGTTTTATGTTACTATACATACTACTGATTGACTAATTTCTTCTAATTTATCAAAGTTTTCTTCTTCCCTGTTTTCTTTTTTTCTTGTTAACAAAATCTAGAATGGTTCAATCTTGAAACACTCTCATCAACTTAAATCATCCATTAGTAAAAACAATACACGATTAATTAATCTTCCATTGGAATTGTCAAACATTCGTTCGGATCAACATGGTGATGTATATGTTTGTGAAGCGGGCATAAATTCTGCAGTTAATCAAAAGCCAGTTATTGAAGAATTGATGCTTGAAGTCAATTGTAAGTTGTTTTGAACATGATATTCATTGACAAAATAATCGTTAATCATTAGAAGAGTATTTGAAAGAATTCCTGGGAGATCACTTCTTCTATATTATGTTGACTATTTTAGGTGGTTAGATACTGCAGTATAGTACAGTAAGCTCAACTATGACATTTGTACACAGAACTGTGTTGTGTAAATAAGATATATGCATATATTGTTCTTGTACTTACCTATATTTATCCGTTTCAATTTAATTGATGAAGGTTGTGGATATTTTTGATTAAACTTGAACATCAACCATGGGATACAATTACATCTGGTTACAGATGAGTCGCAAATGGAACGAAACATAGGTCGTGAATCTAACTGCTGGTCACAACTCATCTCTTTTATACAACCTCATAAATATATCATAACAAAACTATCGCTAACATAGTTTTTTTTATCATTATCAGTTTTGGTATGAGTTTACGGACTTGTTGATATTCAGCTTTGAATTCTGATCAGTCATTGCTGACATGTGTGTATCCTATGCGGATCACGAGTTGTTCCGACTAGATCATTTGTAGCAATCACTGGAAATTAGGATGTACGTTTCGTTGTATCTTGGTCTAATCAGCTGGATGTTCACATCGGAACTCAAACCTAGTATTTTTCTTGTTTAGAAAACTAGTGTCTTATCTACTAAGCTTCTAAGTTCAACTGGCTAGGACGAATAAATTTAATCTCTTACTAATAATGATGTAGATATAATAACCCTTAAACAGGTCAGTAGGTATCAGAACTCAGCTTAGTTTTATGTCACTCACCTTGTTGTCATGTTAATAAAGGAATATTCTATAAATTTAACTTCTCCATTCCCATTTTCATGTTTCTGAATTGGTAAGTATTTTACAAGATGAAAGTGTTACTTACATATAAGTAGTTTCTAATTATATGTTAGTAAACTTGTCACTAAACATGTTTAAACTGGTTATCAGTGTGGTGAATTCATATATACACAATATTCCTCGATCATCTTCTATTATCTTCGGCAAATACCTTCCTCATACTTGACACGGTTAACTCCATTCCTTAAGGCTTCTCATTAGAACTCGAGAAATTTTCTGTCAAAGCTAGACACTATTGAGCACACAATAATTATCAGTAACACGATTGTAGAGATTGTTGAAGATTCTTTTAATCGCAAACCTAAAGTTAGACTTGTAAACCATTGAACTTCGTCTCAGAAGTCTAAAGATTAAAAGATCGTCCACGAGACTTAGATTTCTATACTCGATACCTGGCTTCATGGTCGTGGATGAACACTGGTCAGGAGTCCTGTACGAAGACAAAACAGCTTTCTAGTTTTTCCAGAATAAGACAAGAGTAACTGAAGTGGATAATTTTGTGTGTTAGTTAGGTTCTGTGAGTTAGTCTGGTTTAATTACAAAGCTTTTACTGGAGTTCTTGACAATATGTATCAATGAAGTAAACTATTTAACTAAATTAATCTGTTCTGATGAAATTATCTACAAATAGTTGTCTTCAATGATCATCAGATTAGAAGTTTGTGCTGATGATGCCGTTCAGAAGAACAATGAAATCTCCACGACCAAACCATGTAGCTTAGAGGACGAAACTCCATCAAAAACATCATATTAGTTTGTCTTTAAATTCGTCTTGACTTTTGTTTAAGTTTGTAAATAGGATCTATACCGATATACCTATTGATTACAGATTAATTTGAATGCCATACATACATCCTCAATCAATAATTCCAATCGAATTCATATATGTGTTGTGTAGATCGATAGAATTGATAATGTCTGAGGTTTGTATCAGCTTATGCATTAATGGAGGGAACATCTATTCTCTTCAATCTAATGTCTAGTCCTACTCACTGGTTTCTCGTGGCGGGGGGGTTGTTTACGAAATTGAGAGGACGAAAAGCGAATGCCCGGCGCTTTAACCGCGTTGATGAACATAGAGATTCCATCTAGGGGAGTTATACAACCCTCATTCCAAACCAATGGTGCATAAGGGCTCCAATATCCTGAAGGAACTAATGGCGTATGTACAAATTATGAGTCACCGGCTTCCATTGGACTGCATCTCCTCACGATGTTTCACTGCCTTGTGGATCAGACCTTTAGGTCGAAGGCTCCAGCTGTGGCCTCCTAAGTAAACCACCTGCTTCGGTTTGAGCACCCGTACAATATCACAGCCCTCACACAAATCAAATAGGATTTGTGTAGTGCATATCTATTTGGTACCTCCTTGTACCAATATCAATGTGTTCAAATAATAATAATAATAATTAGCACAGATAGTCCAATTTATTTCATAGATAGTACTGGAACCGTCATATTTCGTTGTTATGCTTTTTATTTTGCATAAAATGGAATTTATTTTCTGTAAACTCATTCTATACAAACTTATACAATCTGCCTTATTTATATCCATTTCGCTCATTCATCCTATTGTATAGTGTGTATATGTGTTTATTTTCCTCTTTTATATACATATATTTACAGTATATCCGAAAATTCATATGTCCGACAGTGTAATCTACACAGATATTGGTGTTGAAGAAAGATTCAATGTAAGTTGTTTTTTTCGTATTATTCAACAGTAATATATATATATATATATATATATATACTAATATATATATATATATATATATATATACATGATATTCTAATTTCATTCTGACTATCATCAATGTTTTGTTGTATTAAGTTTTTCTTAACTTTCAACTACTCAATTAACAAATTCAGTGACTTGTTCCATCTAACTGAGCTTAGACAGCTGGTTAGTTTAATTATATATTTCATTCGTAGATGTATTGTATTAGAAATCCGAGCACATCATTGTCATCATCAGCTCTAAAATTAACCTTATGTCTACTTAATAATTGAATTTATGAGTCAATTGAAGCTAGACCATCTTGGAAAACCTGGAAGCACTGGACAACCATTTTGTTCTAGTATGCGACACCTTAGTAGTGCGCATCCACGATCTCGCCTCGTGAGATTCGAATCCAGGACCTTTTGGTCTCGCTCATGAACGCCTAACCACTAGATCACTGGGCAGGCATCCCATGGTGTCAATGTCTAATTTCAACCAATCCACAAAATTGTTCCACCGTCTACTTTTTTTACTGTTTTTTTTCTGTTGGCGATGGTTTGTTTTATTTACTTATGAAATCAGAATTCATTTAATTATCATTTGTTATTGACTATTTAATTAGTTATTTCTCTGTATCATAGATTTTTCATCTTATCTAGTTGTGAAATACAATATGAATGTTACAAGTTCAAACTATTCATCATTGATGATTTGGATAATAATGAAACATGACAGATATTATTTTATAAAGAAATTTGATTAATATCACATATTCACAGTTTATGTATTTGAACTCATAAATAATGATAAAAGGGGGCATCGAATACATATACGCCACACAAGTCACTTGATTTGTGAGCGGGCTGTGATACTGCCAGGTTGCTCAGACCGAAGAAGGCGGTTTTCTTATGGAGCCACACTCGGAACCTTCGACCTAAAGGTCTGATCCACAAGGCAGTAGAACAACGTAAGGAGATGCAGTCTCACGGTAGACAGCGACCAAAAACAAGTCCATATGCCATTTGTTCTCTCAGGGTCCCATAGAACTGTTGAATGGGTGTTTCGTCCTAGTATGAGACTCCTCAGTTTGTGCTTTCAAATGTGAAAATATTACAATCACTACAAATCTCTCATACTTATAATGTGGTATCTATCATCTTGTTTCATGAAGCATCGAAATAATAATAATCGATTTCTCTTTCATTCCCTAGAAATTATTATTATTATCATTATTATTAATATCATCCAACTGTTACCTTCACTTCCTTCTAACTTTATTTATTAACTCATTCGGTCATTCATTCCTTCGTCCTGACGATGACCTTAATTATTTTCATGATTATCTTTCCTTTTTACAATTGTGATCATTTTCCCTTTTTTGTTTATCTCCGTAAAGAATTTTTTATCTTAAAGATTACAGAAATTACTGTCTCAATCATCACTTAAAATGAGTATGTATTTTTTTCATTATCAACTGACACCATTTAAAGTATTACAGGCATCGCTGGTCAACTTTTTCGTTATAATATGCAGCTCGTGAACCATCATATAATTACGCTTATAATTAAGAATAAGATAATCACTGCCTGTGGTGTTTGAAATTGATTAACGTTAGAAAGATGAGTCATTATACACCGACTAAAGATATAGTACAAGCCATTTGACATGAAGGTCCTGAGTTCGATCTTCGACAGGATAGTGAGTGTTCTATGCTGAAAAATCTCAAACTAGGACATAACTACTTTTAGTGTTAACTACAGTTTACTGTTACATCAGCCGATTCCGATGCATGAAAAAAGTCAACTTCATTACAATTTTTTATCTCAATGATTATCAGTCAGTCATCTACAATGTAGGATCAGGCACAAATATGCATCGGTCCAAGTTACCATACCTCATTATCAGTCATTATACTATCAGTAGTGTTTGGACTAATGGGGAAATGCAAAAAGGACAATCGATGTCTAGGTACTAGTATCAGCTACAACAGAAACTTCTGGTTAGCGTTGTTTTAGCGAGTTGGTTTTCTACAGGAATGGTCGCTAATCCCAAATCAAACCCTAATCCTTTATCCGGGCCTGGGAACGGCTGTAGCCCCAGAGGGGCTCCAGGTGGGGTTACGATAGAAACTTACCGGTAAGAAGTACAATTTACAAAACATAAATTAATTCAAAGAACATTTAGCTCTAATTCAATATTTTTGAGTAAAAAAAGCTTTTCAAATGTGAAGTATTTTCTACCGAAATAAAACAGTATCTGTGCTTCAGTATTAATAGCGATTAAATCAGATAGAAATCTTTTGTAATTTGAAAGAGCAAATTAGCTATCGTTCACTTTGATATCGTCAATTCATATCTCCATTCAATATTCCTGTGAATATGCAGCATTTTATTATCCTGTGTGATCAGAGTTGTTTTGTGTAGATTGTAGTAATTTAATGATTGAATTCATCAGTCAATTGAAGCTAGACCACCATGAAAATCCTGGAAGCCCTGGACGGTCGTTTCGTCATACTGTGTGACTACACAGCAGTGACCATCCACGACCCTGCCCAGTGAGATTCGAACCCAGGACCTATCAATTTCGCGCGCGAACCCTTAACCTCCAGACCACTGAGCCGGCATGTAACGGTGTTAATGTCTAACTATAACTAAGCCTGTGCAAATTTTCAACCAGTGTGATTTATTTTCCTCATCTAAATCATTTCCAACTCTTACATTTTTTTATATCTAATTATTTGGTATACCCCTTTGGGTTATGGAAAGTGAAACAAATAACTTTTCATTTTATCTGTTGGCGACAAATTGTTGGGCCACTAAAGTGATCATAGACATGATAGGATGAATTTATTGAATTAATCACAATGTATCATTTCCTTGAGGATTGCAGGTGACGAGTTCGAAATAACACCATGACCTGAGCTCAGGTTTTCCTGTTAACTGCCTTCAACTATCACATGACATCTTAGAATAATGAATAATAATGTCGAATTACTTAGACTAGTGGTCACATTGCCAGATTATTTGATAGAATTCGGTCAGTTCTAAGAAGTATTTGACATGATATTATTAACCACTACTCGCTCACTATGAGGTCATAACTGTTGTCTTATCTCTTTCTAAAACTGTTGACAGCTGGCAAAACTTTAAACAAATCACGTACAAAAAAGTCTTCGAATTTCAGTTCATACGCTTATCTTGCATCAAAGTCATTGATTGAATATGTGGAATTAATGAATGTTACCGTCGATAGACATTTATCATATCAGGCTGTCATCATTTCCGTAGAATACGACTGTCACGATATGTGTATACATTAATCGATTATTGACCAACCCTTTACAGACTCGTCTTTAAAAAAGATCGAATCTTGTTGACCAGTTTAAGTTGTCTGATATGTTCATTTGATACGAAATTCTACTTCAACATTATTCGACTAAGGTTCCAATCCAACATTTAACATTATTTCCCCCTATGATTGTAAATGGATCAAGTTGAGAAATGCCTTACAATACAAAACTTAGATCTAGGGCCATTATTCGATTGCCTCTTACTAAGTAACAATTAGTTTGCAATAGATAATGATGAGGCTTTTCTGTTAGCAATTAACTAACTTGTAATGATAATTCCTTGATTTGAAACTTATTTATGGTACAATTTTGTTCCTCGGTATTTGGTTAGGGTTACAAATAAAATAAACTATTTGTAATCGACTTCAATTAGTTTTTAGTTATGATCTCATCTAACTGACTCATTTCCTGTGTATTTTAAACCGAACAAATTAGATTTGGGTCTAATCACAATTCCCCTATTGATTAAGATCATACATTTAAGTATTAGATAAATATTTATGTAACTAAAGGTCAAAAGGTCGAGAATTAACTTCTTAGTAGGTTAATTTCGAGTTCACACACACACACACTTTCTCTCTCTATCCCTTTCTATTTATCTATGGGTTGTACATATTTCTATGATCGGCGTTCAATGTTAAATAAAAAGAACGGTTAGTCCAATATTCCCGTTGGTTACGTCATCATAAACAGTTATTAACTTTTACATTTGAAATCATGGACTAATCCTAACTAGACTACCACTGAAAATTTAAAGGCACTGAATGACCGTTTATTCATGGTATGGGACCTCTCATAAGTGCTCATCTACGATCTCACAATCGGAACTCGAACGCAAAACCTTCGATCTCACGAGCGAATGCTTAACTTTTAAACCGCTGGATCGGCATCCAACCGTGTTAATGTCTAACCTCAACCGACCTACGAAATTGCGCGACCATCTCCCATTGTACTAAGGTAGACACCTGTCTCTACCCGACACGGATTAGCTCCTCTGGTCACGGCTTCTCACTAAACCTCTGAGAATCCCCTCACGAAGCTAGTCACTAGTGTCTGTTTCGTGGATTGGTTGAGGTTAGATATTATCACCGTTGGATCACGGTCAACTCAGTGGTTTAGAGATTAGGCGTTCGTGCGCGAGACTGATAGCACTGGGTTCGAATCTCGCAATGTGGGATCGTGGATTCCCGTTGCTGAGGAGTCCCATACTAGGGCGAAACGGCCGTCCAGTGTTTCCAGATTCTCATTGGTGGTCTAACATCAATCGATTCATGATCTTAATCAAAAAAATTAATAATCTTCACAATCCTATGCTGATTACTATTGTATTTGATTAAAGTTGTAGCGTCGTAAAATGAGAGCAGAAGTGTTTATTATTTACTTCAGATATTTTGTATGCCAAGAATTTCATGATCTGTTTATGTTTGTTAAAAAAAAAACAAAATAATTTTAAACGAACAATGATTTCAGGGATTCAAAACAAAACATCCATATGGTCCTTTATAGGCCTTTGTTTTAAAAAAAACCCGATAATTATCAGTTTAGTCGATAGACATTTGTTTGATATTTCAACTTTTAAAATGTACAACAATGTAATACATGAATATAAGGACTAAACAAACTTACTTATTTAAGCCTGTTACCCCTCGTGGAGGAGCATAAGCCGCCCACCAGCAAACAAACCCATCCATACAAATATGTTCGATCAACGTGTTCTTCACCAAATAAATAGGAAAGCTGTTTTGTTTTTCGTGATATGAAAATAGTTTTGTGTAAACGTGCGAGACTGCAGCACTGGAAAAAGTGAAGTTAACAGAAAAGTTTACAATTTACTTCGATATATTTCGTTTGTAATGAGGGATTTCTATTCAACTTTACTTTATGTAATGTAGATGGACACGTTTAGTGTCTATGCTTGTACAGTTTTGCCTACCATATTCAAGACTTTTTTTACCACCCAAACGTGTTGATAACTAAAACGGCTACACTAGTATGTGACGTAGTGTAGACGCAAGTATGTGATACATGAATATACAGAACGTACACGTCAGACACATGCACTCCGATGGACCCTTATAGGCACAGATACGCTCGGTCACAAATGTACGTTGCATCTGTATATAAAATCTATAGGAGTCTACACGCTCCATGGTTCGTACATAGAAACCAGACCTAATGTACCTTCCTAGATATAAACCAGTCAGGGAAAAAACGGGGGAAAATCTTTCTTCAGTTCTTCATTTCATTTTTATTTGCACAACACACCGCTTTTGGGATAATCCATCTCATCTGTATTATCAGAGTGGAAGATTAATTCGTTCTCTACTTACACACCTTCAGTAGTTCATGATACACAAATCTTCTATCTCTGAGGCATCACGTATTTGTGTGGTTGAGTCTTTGTCCCAGATGTACTGATCAAGACTGAATAATATTATAACATTTTATATCGGTACCGCTAGAAGAAAGCTATGGAATAAAATGGAGAGGATCATGATCAGATAAATGAATATTTCAGTAACGCGGTTTGTAATATCAAAGTATATATCTTGAAAATAAGAAATGAACTTAAGAAATATACTGCATGAAATGATTTGCGAATTGAATTACTGTAGATATTCGATTACACGCCAAAACGGTTTATATCAGGACATTTCCTGACCACATTAAGTAAGTAACACTACCTTCATTTAATGATTAGTGCATCAATTCTTTTGTCAGTTATTCTGACTGCTTTCTATACAATCCAGCTAACACATGAACATCAATAAATTCCAGACATTGATTGGTCCATCTATCATAATGGTACGTAAAAGCTGCTAGCCGGCATACAGTTTTAATAGGACTTTGATTCATAGATTCATCCATAAACCTTTCTATATTATACTAAACCATCAAGGTGCTGATATATAATCGAATATATATATATATATATATATATATATATATATATATATATATATATATATATATTACTTAACAGAATTCTCCTGTTTTCTTCTATTCTCATACTAGATTCTGGTAACAGGTTATCCAACTCCTACATTGACCTGCAATGATCTACCAGTTGGTGATGCACACATGTTATCCAATAAACCTCAGGGCGGAACATGGGCATATCGTGTTGTATTAAATCAGATTACATCACAACATTTACATGAGTATATGTGCAAAGCAAATAACAGTTTAGGCAGTGTAAATCAAAAGTTAGAAGTGACTGGTAAGAGATTTTTTGTGTGTTTATTTTGTTTTTAATCACTGATTAGTATATATAAGCATATCTTCAATTCGAAAATCAAATATAATTTGTAAATATAACTAGTAGCCATATACATACAAGACCTTTATATACAGTGACATGGTGATTGATCAGCCCGTACACTTTAAAATGACACTATTCACTAATGTTTTACCAAAGATTTTGAAGATATCCAGAGCTTCAGAAAGAGATGGTTGTTACAAAGCGTTCACCTAGAGGTTGGTACACTTTAGTACATCTCATATGTTCCCAGATCTCGGAAAAAAAGAATTGCGTACAGACATAACGGCAATTTTGGAATTTCATCTTCTGACGTTCCACCACCAAACGCTTAAGCCAAAAGGTATGGAACGTTTCAGGGACATGAAAATATTTCCTCTCTCACATAAGTAATGATTATTATTAATTAAAAAATAAAAAGAGATTCGGTAATTCTTTAATAGCATCCTTCAATCTACCAACAAGGAGTCAAAGATTATGATTGTATTCTTAACGGTTATTACAGCCGTAGAATGATCTTTCCATCTTTAAAACAAAAAGAGTGGGCTACAACCCAAGGCACGACATTATTTGTGATAAGTGACAACATGAAACTTTAAAATTATTTACTTTCGTGATAAATCTAAATTTTCACTCCATTAGATAGTCGGAAGTAGTCGACAGGAAACTATGCTTGATTTAGATTTCTTGTTACTAAGGCACATGGTGGGTCTTTGAACTTCAGAGGACTGATGCTCTCTAACCGACTAGATTCCGTGTCACTCCGTCTTGGCCGTCGGAGACGTTACCAACTATCACTTCGGACTACGACTGACCTTCTGTTGAACTGAGATGTATTTACAGTTGATCAACAACTGAATAGTGACCAATGTCATGTTCACCAGCACTAATGAAGACCTGAAAAAACTAACTTTCTCGTTCCTTGTATAGTCTCTTTCTTTCTTTATAGTCATCAACGTTTTTATCCGAAATAATTCTTGTGCTTAAATCAGTTCAACTTTAATTTTCACTATTTGATTATGTCTGTTACAGTTGCTCCAGCACCTCCGAAAATTTTATCCTCGAATTCAACAGAATTTGCTGATTACTATCTATTGCATTGGACAACAAATTCCCGTGCACCATTAAAGAATGTCACTGTTACTATAAGTGAAATATCAGCGAATACAGTTAGTTTTTATTTGTCAATTTTGTGTTCATTTTCTGATCGTTTTTATATTACATAAATGTCAAATGAATGTTGAATGATGTACGGGTCGCGGCCCCGATAGCTCAGCGGTAACGTCTCTGACTGTGAAGCTGAATGACACGTGATTTAATCCATCAGAGAGCGTCGTTTCCTTCAAGATTACTTGTACACCCTGCTGACATGCGTCAAGTAGCACGAAACCTAGACCCAGGGTTTCTTGTTAAGTGCCTCCAACCACCATCTTAACCTTCATAATATTTATATTCTTCTAAATCAATGATTTCTTATGAACCGTTTACTTAAATTACTCTCTCACTGACTATTGACCCGAGTCATGTAGACAGAAGCGAACTAACTGATTGATGTTCGCGTGATAACCGTGATCAGGAGTTGAAGACTTTGAGTGATATGACTCAGAATTATTCAAAATGGTGAAAATACATTCACTCTTTTTATTCATCTAGACCTTTAATTCCAATATTTCTCTATTTATACTTGTCCACTCTGTTTTTACAATTCGTACTTTCAAGACTACTGTAATTCTCAAACAGAGCGAGTTTAAATTCTGTCATCTGTTGGTTGACATTCGACTACGTTCACCACTAAGCCATTGCTCAACTGGGAGTCTCCTACCTTCATATGATCTTCTGTGTGCTATCGGATACTATGTTATAAGCACAGTATACTCCACTATAGCATAGTCATCATTTACGTGAGTCTGTTGCCGTTCTTGGAGCATAGGCCGCCAACCAGGGATTTACAACAAACTTGGAGTTGTGCTTTCCTTTCCAGTCATTACATGGCACTAATCATTCTGCATTTAATTTACGGAAGCACATATTCTTTGGTCTATCTCTCTCCCTTTTCCCTTGAGGATCCCAAGTTAAGGCTTACTTTTTGGTATGAATTTTGTTGATTTCCACAGTGTGCATCCTATCCACCACCAGCTTCTTTTGCTAATTTACTCTTCAGCTGGAAGCTGGTTTGTTCTCTCTCACAGCAGGTTGTTGCTAATGCTGCCTGGTCAACGGCTCTGTGGTATCCAGCGTAAATAAATGTTTACAAATATTTGTACTCTTTTTGATGGTTGTAGTAGTTCTTCAATTTATGACGTTAAACTTGATGTTAAAAATCCCATGAATGTCAAGAGTTCTTAATTCCAGAGTTGTTTTCCCCTCTGAGTTGAATGGTTTCATCATGAACCATTCATTATCACTTTAGAAAACATCGTCAACACATACTTTAATAATTTTTGAGGTATTAGAAATTTTTCATAACTCCCTGAAAGACTGTATGTGCCATTTGGTGACTAGTAAATATCAACTGTGCATATTGAAATCACGAACGGATTAACACTGAACAATCATTGAAAACCTGGAAGTATTGGACGTCCGTTTTGTCCTAGTATGCGATTTCTCAGTTGTACACATCCACGACCCATGGTGACAGAGTTGTCGATACGCAATACTGAGGAGTCCCATACTATGGCGAGATGGTCATTCAGTGCTTCCTGGTTTTCAGTAGTTGTCTAACTTAGATCGGCATAAGTTTTCAACAAAACTCATCAATCTTCGCTGCCCTATACTATTAACTATGCCTATGTTTATAAGTGATTGTTCAGGTATATTCAAACTTATTTCATTGCATTTCCCAGGTCTATAAGCACATTGTCAATCAATTCATTGTTATGTTCATGTCTTATCAGTTCTTATCTTTATCTACCCAATATGTTTTCATTACACTGATGAACATATTATTATTATTATTATTATTATTATTAGTACTATTAGTAGTTTTTCTAGTAGTAGTAGTAGTAGTAGTAGTAGTAGTAATAGTAGTAGTACTAATTGTATGGACAAATTATTCCATTTCATTCATACATCACATCTGTTTAAATTTCCTACTGATTGTCGTTTCTCATGTTCTTGATAAATTTTCTATCATTATTATATCTGACTAATTAACTGACCTATGACTAGTAATTTCTGTTGGGTACATTATGAAAGGAGACACATTCTATTTATCATTACTATTCTTGTCTTTTTTCAGTTCTTCCCTAATTTTCTGCGTTTTTCTATCCTCCGAATTCTTTACTGTTTATATAGTCACTTTCCAAAAGTTGTTGTTGTTGTTGTGACTTTATGACTTTCATTGATTTGAAGATTCACTATAATCCATTGTGTATAGTTTATTTATTTCATGATTAGATACACTCAGCCAGTTGGATACCGTTAATTCATATGTGATTGTATGTATGTGTATGTATGAGTGAGTCAATAGGTCATCATCTCTTAACATAAATGATAACAGAAAGAACAATAACAACAACAACAGAGAATAGTTTGAAAATATCCCTCTTCTTCTCTTCCTTTGTTTTTTCCCTGTGGCTTCATTTACATGGGATAAATGTGAACATGTTTTTTATTTGTTTGTATGAAAGAACAAACTAATTAATGAATTAACGACTATTTATCCCGACAATTATTATCAATGATAAGTAGGTTTGTATAGAAAATTATTTAACATTGATTGTCCAATAAATAACCGTTGATTATTGAATGATGATCATTGTCATATTATTCAATGGGTAGATACAAGTAAAAAACAACATCAAGTAAATTTAAACTTCACTCCATTGCATAAGCAGGTGACTATCAGGACTCAGTAGCTCGGTGGATAACGTGATGGTGTTTGAAACAAATGGTACTGAGTTCGAGTCCTAGTATGAATAGAAACTGTGAGATGCAGGTACATCCAGCTGACGAGTCTCAAATAGGATGAATTTGCGTACCGGATTCCACTGCTAGCCACTATCCTCATCTTTGCTTATAATGCTTGTGACTTAAGGCAATCCGCTTAGGATAAACATAAGAGATTGATCAATTACAGTCCTAAATAACAATGGGCAGATATAAGTAAGAACAACATCAAGTGAACTGTGAGTTAGATAGTTTAATTGCAAAGTTTTCTTTATCATTCTGGACAACATCTTCAGAGCATAGTTTATGTAAAAAAAAGCGAGCCTGAATGAATAATATTTAAATCATTTAGTGATTAACAGATACATCGATATAAGCGCAATCTACAAATGTATACGGACAAGATCGATGAATTATAAATCCAGAGATTAATTGCCAATGACAATCAACATAATTACAAAGGTAATGTAAGTCAACTAATCATAAACAGAGCCTTCGGAATGATGAACTGATGTGATAATTGTAAAATAACCAGAATGCTCACTTCTATACATGAAGTCGGCTTTGAGATACAACCACTTAACTCAGAGAATTCGACAGCTGTCTGAGTTTCAAATTTTCTCTACCATTTCAAAGGAGAATTATTTTTGAATCATTATTTGAGAAAAAGATTCATTTCCAAATCACTTTTTGTTTTTAAAAATTGTGTTTTTGTTCAAAGGAATCTAGTGCTGGTAGTTCGATAGTTCCACGTTCTCCAGTACTTCATGAACGTGTATTTAATTTGGAAGATGATAAAATTGATACAACTTCTACAGTGATTCAACATATACAATCGAATTCGACTAATTTAAAACAAATTTGGCATCATTTACCAAATCTTAGTTCAGATACACGTCATGATATTAGCTTAAGTGTTTGCAATACTTATGCATGTTCAAAATCATCAGCATTAAACAGTCGATTTGGTAGTTCCTCAAGTAGATTTACATTTAAAACACCTGAATTTGATGGTAAGTATTTTAGTGTTTTCATTCACTGTATACTACTGAGTGAATGTTGTAGTTCAATGCGTTTTTATGTTGATTTCTTATTGTTCAGTTTTCATTTGTGTGATTTTAGCATATTCTCATTATTATGTGCTCACTAGTGATTAGGTTCAAGATGAAACTCCGGGAGTTCTAGTAATAAAATGTAACCATCATTGAGGTTCAGTTCATATCAGATGTGATACAGTTATCCACTGAAGACAGTGAATGAAGGTCAATTGAGGTTAGACATTAACAACGTTGAATGCCGGCTCAATGGTCTAGAGGTTAAGAGTTCACTCGTGAGACCTAAGTTCCTGTATGAACTACTGTGGAGCTTCATACCAGATCGAAACAGTCATCTAGTGCTTTCACGTTTTCAATATTGGTCTAGCTTAGATCGACTTGTAAATTCAATACCTTTATTAAAAAAAAAACATAACTTTCAACGAAAGGATCTGTTTCACAAGATTTTATTAAAATCATTTCATCATGACCTATAAACAATGAATAAACATGATGATGTAATAGAAAGATTATAAAACTGGATTACGTAATATGAATAGTATAATGTGTCCAAATAAATAAAAAAAACAATCAATAAGTTAATGATGGATTATAAATTAAATGAAGTAAAATAGTATGGTTACACAATAATTAAAGGTGATTAGAGGGGTTAAATGAAATGAAATGATGTTGGAGATAGTTATGAATAAAATGATAGAGATATGAGAAATATGTAAAGAGATAGGGAGATATTTTATTATATATAATATGATAATAATGACTTTAATCCGAATCTTGCGGAGGCAGGATCGTGGGCGAGCACCGCTTAGGAGTCCCACAATAGGACGAAACGGCCGTCTAATGCTTCCAGGTTTTTCATGATGATCTAGCTTAACCATTAAATCTATACTTGATAAGATATCCATATCGTTTTATTAGTGATAATTTTAATTCTGTTATCACAAAACATAATTCAGTTAACTGTCGTTAACATAGTGTCATAATGTATTTCATACTGTAGACTATTAACACCAAATCATTACTCTTATCACAAAAAAGGTGTGAACAATTGTTATGTCATAGTAGGATACCAAAAGAGTGAGTGGGTGAGTGAGAGAGAATGTGTAACTATCAAATGATTACAACATAATGATTCATAATAGATTTGAAATGTGATAAGAGTTGAAATTATCTACGATTAATTGATTACTAAGTTGTTAACGGTGGTATGTTCACCTAGTTTTTTAAGTAATGATGGAACTGTATCGATCAAGTTAAAATATGGACGCTAGTCTAATTGACTCAATATTCTGTGCTATATGTTTCGATGTTAGATGGTTGGAGAAAGTTGTCCGAAAACCATGGTTCATCAAAGCTTTGAACCGGCGTACCTTTGGTCTTGTGGGTTCTTATTTCACGGTTTACAAATTTACTAATTAAGTATTAAGGTAGCTTAGAATCTCCTGTAGAATTAAAACAATTGCATTGATCAACTAGTACTGACTGGTTCTTGGAATTCTGTAGACCATATTGGAATGCAAACTCTAGTCTAGATGACTTAACATTGTTTATATTATTGTAAAATGTTAAGTCATTGGAGGTAGTTGATGCAGATTAAGAATTCAATTTCATTTAGATTCTAAGTATGCCTTTTCGAACGAGTCCCAGATAACAGGAAATCTAGTTGCAGGATTCTTTTGCTAATTATTATTATAACACAACTTGATATGTCATTATGGTATAGTGAAGGCTGTTGAGTTTCATTGAAATCACTAACCCATCTAAGAAATCCTATACAAGGATAAAACACTCTTTCAATGCTTCCTGGTTTTCAATGATTGCATAACTTAGATCGGTTCATGATTTAAATGAACTTTAACAATCTATAAAACCCAAACACTAACAAATATATTGCTTAAAAGTGACTAGATTTAAAAGGATATTTCCGTAGCTCTAGTGAGAATCTATGATTAGTGAAGTTCAATAATGTTGAGTGCGAAGCAGTTTTCTACTTCAGACAGTAGAAAATGGTCACGTAATGTCGTAGATGGATTGAAGTTAGACATTAACATAGTTGGATTAGATTATTATATAAGCTTGAATATCTTAACCATCTTTTATATACATAGCCTGTTGAACTTGATCAACGTGATGATGGTACTAGTCAACCTCTTTGTAATTTAATGTATATGATGTTGTTAAGCGGAAATAGTCAAAACCACACTTAGACAATCGCCGCTGTCTATGTAAAAAAACGCTTTCCTAGTCTATTCGTCTGAACAGCCTATTTATTTTGAATTTCAATATTTCTCTTAAAAGTTCCCATAACTTCACAGTCATTCGTATTATTAGAAATAACTTGCGTTTTTTGTAACAATGAGATAATCTTCGAAGTAAGAAGCTGTGGTTGGTGGAGTTCAATATTGTAGAGTATGAGTCAGTTTTCCATCTGAGACAATAGAAGATAATCATATAATGTTGTAGATCGATTGAAGTTAGACATTAACACTGTTGTATGTCAGCTCAGTTATCCAGAAGTCAAGAGTTCTCAGTATGATTCCCTGTTAGAGTGTCATGAATGAGCATTGTCGAGTAGTTCCATATTGAAACAGATTATCTTGATGTATTTGTTTAAGTTTCCCTTTTGAAACAACCTCTATTCCAACATCTCTATTTCTAACAGTCATAATTTAAGGGTTGCTTTAGTTTTTTTTCTTAATAAAACAAACTAATAAAACATTTTATGTTCATTTCGTTACATTTCAAGGACTAAAGTAGCAATTAAATGATTCCATTCATCATTTTTTGTTCTTAATATTGTACCCGTTTACTTTTTTTTTAAATGTATGTTAGAAACATGAAAACGAGTGATGTAAGCACTATGCCTACCTGTTTGCTTGTTCCTATGTAGTATGAATGAGCTGGTATAAGCTTTAAACTTATAATAATAGTAGTAGTAGTAATAACAGTAATAGTAATCATAATAATGGTAACAATAATAGTAGTAATAATGGTAGTAACAATAGTGGTAATGGTAGTAGTAGGAGTAGTAATAGTAATAATGATAATAGTGGTAATAATGATCATAATCATCATCATAATAATAATGATAAGAATGAATATTTTGTCTCCTACACCAATCTGATTTGTATTTCTTATCTCTAGACAGTAATAGTTTTTTTTGTGTGCCCGTTTTTCTCCATTATTAAAAGAAAAATAAACACAACCCCATTCGCTTGGAGACAATAAAATTAAACAAAAACTATGAATTTTTTAATTAGATAAAGAACATTTGGATGAACGAAATTGTCCCTTAGAGATTACGTATGAATTTAAAGCACTAAATGACGACATCTGATCATTAAATGTAGTTTATATTTTGTTCTCTTCATCATGTAAACCATATTATGGAAGGTAATATTAACTGGGTTAGATTTGATAAACTTCTTTAAAATGTTTATGCCATACACTTAATTGAGATCTGTGTGATTATTATGTAACCAGTGGTTGGAGATTCTAGGTGATATGGCTTAGAATCGATCACATTAAAATAGGTGTATACCCTGTTTGTCTTCGCTTAAACTTTCTCCCTATATCATATCCTTATATGAAGTTTTGTTTCGTTACCATTGAAGTAACTACTTCTATAAATTCGGTGTCCATCTTGTTGTGTTAATGAGGTATGACAATTTGTACTGATGCATATATATACCTGATCCCACGTTGTAGATGACTGACTGAGGCATTATTGTGTTTTGAAAGTGTTTGTACTATAACCACAAATTCCTGACAAAACATCGTTTATCTATGTATCTACATTCTCACGTGTGTTATGGTGATACAAATTAGACTTGTGTGGTGAGAGCACGTGTGTTCATATGGAGTTTGAAATTAGGACACATTTTTATCAAGTAACACTTAATACCTTTTTTGTACGAACTAATTCTTTCTCCCTATATCTTTATATACAGTCTTTCTTTGATACATTATCACCACTGAATTAACTACTCCTATGAATCCGGTGTTCATCTTGTTGTGCTAATGAGGTGTGACAATTATCGAGGCTAGTATTGTAGATGTTATATTAGTTAAACTAATCCCTCTATGGTTGTCACAGGATGATTTTGACCCTTTCTTATATATTGGGACGATAAGTGATTGTGACGGTGCTGTGTGTACGGTAAGACTAAAAGCACGAACTTAAGATCTAAGAAGAAAATCATATTGCTCATTGAACAGAAGTGTGACAACAGTAAAATGTTTCATTCCGATAGCCAGAAACTATGCCAATGCTGTTATCTCACAATGAAAAGATGAGATTTGAGAAATTCAGTCTTAAATATGTCATAGACAATTTCAATCAACAACTTCATTAGCTTAAAAGATCTACTTCGCAGTTATTAGAGAAACTCATCGATAATATTTAGAAATTTATAATAATGAATTTGTAATCATTATCAGTAATGGCTTCAAATGAGTTGTATATGATTCTACTCAAAAATTAAACTTTTATTCATTAGATCTAGCTTAGCTGTTCAAAGATCTATACCATAGTTGTTCATTTCATTTTATAGTGAACGTTTTTATTCACTTGATGAGTTGTATTTTAAAATTGTGAATTACCTCATTGTTGATATTCATGACGGAATTTCTAGCGGTCTTCCTTGGTATATATGCATGCTTTATCAACTGTAAATTGAATTGAGTTCACAAGCTAGTGGCTATCTGGACTAAATAGATCACTTGATAAGGTATTAAGAGTTTAAATTGAAAGATAACAAGTTTAAAACCCAGTATGAATATCAACGATTGAATGCAAATACAGTCAACTGATGAGTCCCGAACGAGATTCCACTATTAATCAAAATTCATCTGTTCTACAAAGCTGAACGTGATCTTAAGTGGATTTCCATAATTTATATGACATAATGATCTTAGACCATCCATGAAATTCAGGAAACCCTGTATAGCTGTTTCAATGATGTATGAATTTTATTTGATCGAAATTGTACTGATATACTGTCTTTCTCCTCACTCTCCTATACAAATGATTATCTATTATCATTTGGAAATGAATATTTCTATTTTCAATTTTCTTTTGATTCCACTTTTTCCATTAGGTTCAAATAAAATTAATCCATCTCTATTACAACGAAGTCCAAAAGATCTTCTATCATTGGATGGTGATGAAATTAGTAAGTCTATTACAAATTCTACTTGTTTACGTTTATCTCAATGAGAATACAATTTATTATTTCAGTTCAGTTTTTAGCTCAGTTTACTGAACAGTAGTTTATTATGTAACTGAGTTTTACTTTTATTGTTTTCGTGTAACGTCTATTGTTACTATATACTTCACTATCAAGAATTGGAGTAGTTATTCCGAAATACATAACTGATGCCTTGTGAATTAAAAATCAATTGATTAATCAAAGTATTAATATGCTTCTGTACGGTGGGGGGGGGTGGAATGGATGTTTTGTATTAAATGACGGATGAGTGTAAACATGATGTTGGGTGTTTTGAAGAGGATGATAATCGATTCAAGTCATGGTGTGAAGTTGATCGTTAAATACTGTTTGATATTAACACCACTGTATGTGGCCTCAATGATCTAGAGGTTAAGTGTTAACATGCAATACTGATGATTCTGAGTTCGAGTCTCAGACACACGGTTTTGAATGCACACTGGTGAAGATTCTCATACTAAGATAAAAACTGCTGTCCAACACTTCTCGGTTTTCAATGGTAGTCCATTTGAAATCAGTTCTTCATTTGAAAGTTATTAAAATATAATGTTAATTAGACTGCTCATAAAAAAAGCATTCAAAAATACAGTTAATTAAAATGTCAACATGCACCACTAACTAATGATTTCAACGTTCAGTTATTCAGCCACTAACGTTAATAGTGCCACTATACCAATGATATGAATACAACTACAAGCAGTTTATACCTATGTAGGTGAACCAGCGAACATTTTGATACCTACTTGCTTATATTAAATAATGCTAAATGTTATTGAAATCTTAAATGAGCCTATGCTTGACAATCATTGAAAATTAGGAAGCACTGGATAACTATTTAGTCCTAGTAACTAGTAACTCACTTAAGTCCTAACACAGAACCTTCAGTTCACACTCAGACCACGGAGTCGATATCCACTTGTTTATAAATCTAACTTCAATCAGTTCGCCACACTGTGCAACTAACTTTCATTGTCTTCAATAGGTAAATAGTCTCACACCCAACAAGCTTGAACCTTAGGGTTTAGGATGACTACTTAATGTTATTCAGATCATGAACTACTTTTTAATAGTTATCTAACTTACGTCCTTCAGTGATCTCAATAAGATTCAGCAATCTTCACCCCTCCTTTCCATAATCATGAATACTAAATGTAATAATGGTGATTTTTTTCATGGAATTTTGTATATTGTTTAACTAGGTGATCGGATTCTTTAACTTCATTGTATTGTCAAAATATGCATGTCATTCACTTCCTTCTAGAAATAATTTTAAGTTGTACTAATGGTAATAGAGAAATTGATCAACAAATGATCTTTCCGTTTTGTAGAATAGCTACATTGTTTTATCTTATGAGCTGTTATAATAATAATGATCTAATTGACTAGAATAGAAGTTTTGTAGAGATCTGGTCTCACCTATTGGATAGATCCCCGGTGGAGTTGTGGATCTCCACTTTTAAGGACTTTCGTAGTAGGACAATGTAGCTGTTCTAAGCTTTCTGCATTTCTAATGGTGACTTAATTAAGATCAGTTCATTATGTTAAGTACGAAAAGTCAGATAGTTGTTATCTAAAATATCACTAATGAAGAACGGGGTTTATCCAACTAATCCAACAATTACTGTAAGTGTACTTACTTACTTACTTACACCAGTTACTGCTCATGGAGGAACATAGGCCGCCCACCAGCACTCTCCCTACAACCCTGTCCCAAACAATCCTTTCCAGTTCTTTCCTCGTGTTATTCATCCTTTTCATATCTGCTTTTATTTCCCGACATAATGTGTTCTTTGGTCTTCCTCTTTTCCGCTTCCCTTCAGGATTCCAACTTAGGGCTTGCTTCATGATGCAGTTTGATGGTTTGCGTAATGTATTTCATATCCATTTCCAAAGTCTTTTCCTTACTTCCTCTTCAGCTGGAGGCTAACCAGAAATAATAATTCAAACTGTAAATTTACATAATCACAAATTTAAAACAAATGATTGTGGTAATCTTCAAAGTAAAAATTGACCATTCTATCTAGAAAGTAAAAACAATTACAGTTGGATATATTTGAGTACAATCCTACCCCTATCAATATGACTCATTAGATATATCTCTGTGTATGGATTATTTCCATGTGTTGATAAAGTTCCTCTGAACTCCTTCACTTACATCAACGAGTTGTTCATTCCGAGGTAAACAAAAATTAGCTATAGACGGTGAATGGTATACAACCTGTTATCATGTCAATCAATGATGACTTATATCCTTATCAATTGAATTGTCTTTTCAAATCTAGTATACGACGTCTAATCTCAATGATAAAGCAAATATCATTCAAGTTACTAAGAAAGCAGTATGATTGGATTTTTTTATATTTATTCATAATTATCAAACCCGTAACTGAGCAGGGTTACTATCTGTATATCCATAACAAATCAAATGACTTATCACAAAGGCACCTCTGGAAACATAGATAAGGACTAGACACGCCACCCAGTGATCAATCAATTGTGATTACATCTCAGTCCTACAGGGGGTCGGTCGTGGCCCGGATAGCTCAGTGGTAACGTCTCTGACTCTGAAGCTGAGTGACACCAGATCGAATCCGCCGGGGAGCCCCAGTTCCCTCAAGATTATAGGTACACCTTGCTGACGAGTGCCAAGTAGCACGAAACCCGGATCCAGGGTTTCCTGTCGACTACCTACAACCACCATCTAAATCTCATGATATAATGCCCGCAGTGTCGAGTCACCTAGACTGGTGGCCACATTGCAACATGATCGATAGCATTCGATCTGCACTAATAAGGACTAGACACTCATGACATTGATCACCACCCAGTGATCAATCAATTGTGATGACATAGATATCTTATTTACAAGACAATGGAGATATGGTTACTGGTAATCAAAATAGGCTCATACTTAACTTATTACTTCTAGATCATAGAATCCATAGACAACACTGGGTTCTGTAACTCTTGTAAACATGTTGTTCCATTAGAATATTTCAAGAAGGCGAGTATACTCTCTTCTCTGTTTGGCTATACCAAGATATTTAAACCGAATACCGAACATAGTACAGTTTCGCATCACTTTGTTTTAAACCTTTAAAATAAACGGATATCCATATTTAAGAGAAACACACACACACACTTCCACATTATATGGCCAAAAATTATAGTTTTTACATTTAAAAAAAACTAAAAAAAATGTGAATTATGCAAACAATTAAATGAAATCATGTGTTTGTTTTTCTATATCTCTTGGCCACAGTTATTTTCTCCGTTTCAAATGTTGTGAATATTTGACAAAAATAACCTTTTTTTCAACCACCCTCTCTCTCTCGCTCGCTCGAACTCCCTCCAACCACCACCACCACCCCCCTAACAACTGCACTATGAGAATGAATTAGGTTTTCAATAATGAATTGTTTCTCTGTTAATTTTTCTATCACATGTGAATGATAGTGGAAAAATGAGAATGAAAATCAAAGTTTAGTTTGTTAATTATCATTACTACTAACACCACCACTACTCCTACTACTACTTTTGTTATTATTATTATTATTATTATTATTAGTAGTAGTAGTAGTAGTGGTAGTAGTAGTAGTAGTAGTAGTAGTAGTAGTAGTAGTAGTAGTAGTGGTAGTGGTAGTAGTAGTACTAGTGGTAGTAGTAGTATAGTAGTAGTGGTAGTATTGGTATTCGTATTAGGAATAGTACTGTTATTACCATTATTACGATTACTATTTGGAAATATCCTTAGTTTTTTGTTGTTGCAAATCAACATTCATTATGCCAATCAATTACATAACATACTAATATTATCACTAATGTTACTAACAGAAACGATTCCACGTTGAAAGAGAATTTGTGATAATGGTAAAGATTTAACATCTCTGTTTTTTTTTGGATAATACTAATCACTACTGCTTACTAATGATTAGAACATATGGTTTGTGAATCAGATTTGGGACAAGATTTAGTTTGATGATTCCTCACTATCTCCTCTCTCAATCCCTCATACAAACACACACACACATATATATTTTAATTATCAGTATTGATCCAGAAAATCAAACTAGTTCACAAGGATGTAGAATGATCCTTTCAAAATTAGATTATTATTATGTAAGCTTGAATATCTTAACTATCTTTTATATAGATAGCCTGTTGAACTTGATCAACGTGATGATGATACGAGTCAACCTCTTTGTAATTTAATGTATATGATGTTGTTAAGCGGAAATAGTAAAATCCACATCTAAAAAATCGCCGCTGTCTATGTAAAAAAACGCTTTCCTAGTCTATTCGTCTGAACAGCCTATTTACTTTCAATTTCAATATTTCTCTTAGAAGTTTTCATAACATCACGGCAGTTCGTAATATTAGAAATACCACGCGTGTTTTGTAATACAAGATAATCTTCGAAGTAAGAAGCTGTGGTTGGTGGAGTTCAATATTGTAGAATATGAGTCAGTTTTCCATCTGAGACAATAGAAGATAATCATATAATGTTGTAGATCGATTGAAGTTAGACATTAACACTGTTGTATGTCAGCTCATTTATCCAGAAGTCAAGAGTTCTCATGCGAGACCTATGGTTTTGAGTTGAATTCCTTGTTGGGTGTCGCGAAAATGCACTGCTAAAGCAGCAGCAATTTGGAAGACTCTCCCGGTCTCTCGCATTGTACGATCATTCCATGTACCTAAATGAACGGTTGCTCTGGTTGTCATAAGAAACATCGGCCTCGTGACTTCCGAAGGAACTCGGCTTTCATCATGAGACGTCATAACTCTGAGACCCTAATTTCCTCAACGTTTTTTTGTTTATATTTCTTGATTTGCACTTTCTTCTCGAATCATATTTTCGATACTGAATCTTCTCTGTGATGATTGATACTGTTACTACCTCCGGTATTCAGGAATATCAACTTGAACAATAGCTCATTTTTATTTATGATCATAAAGTGTAACTATTTGAATCCATTCAATTGATTTA